GAATTATCTGAGTTTCTACCTACGATGTGCAATGTGCAAAATTTGAAATTTGAAATAGTAAAAAAAAAATTGTCGCATTTAACCTTGATTGTTAGTGTGCTGACATACCCAGCAAGAATTCTAATTTAATTTTATGGAAACAGGCCTTCTCTTACACAGAACACAGTGGTTCTCAACTGTGACAACTTTAAGATGGGTGGACTTCGATCCCCAGAATTCCTCTACCAGCATGCATGCTGGGGAATTCTGAGTGCTGAAGTCCACCCATCTTACAGTTGAATTCTGGGTCTTGAAGTCCACGTAAAATTCACGTATCCTGAAATTGACACGGTTGTGAAACATTGCTCCAGCATCTAGAATTCTTATTAATGATGTTGGATTTCTTTTGTTAGCTGCTATGGTTGGTGTGTACTAGCAGCGTGCAAGGATATCAATAAATAAATAAATACAATTTGGGTCAAACCACCAGTTCTCATTTACCTCAATTCAGTTGCTTAACCACATCCTATTCGTCTACACTTCCTTGACTACATTCCCTTTCTGTAATTATCCTCCCCTCTTCTCTGTTGAATCATAAAATTGTAGGCTTGGAAGGAACCTTAAAAGTTGGGTTAGGGTTAGAGTTTTAGTCCAACCTCCGGTGCAAGCTAGGAGCCCTTATACCAGACAAATGGCTGTCCCAGCGGTGAAATCTACTTACCTTTCTTACCGGTTCAGAAGTGCATGTGCTCTGTGCACTCGTGCATCATATGCATTGTGCACATCTTCTGCGCGTGCGCAGAAGGTAAAAAAACATTACTTCCTGGTTAAAACCAGGAAGTAATGACACCCGAGTGGCTATCACTACCAGATTTAATTTAATTTAATTTAATTTATCGCATTTCTATGCCGCCCAACTTCCGAGGGACTCTGGGCAGCTCACAGCAAAAATAATGTGAACATAGAAAAATTGTTTAAAAAACCTTGTAAAAACATTTTAAAACATTAAAAGCCTATGCACACCATTCATGGCCGGATCTCGCAAGATTGCAACAGTGAGATCAACGGCCCCAGGCCTGCCGGAAAAGCCAGGTCTTCACCGCTTTCCGGAAGGCCAATAGGGTGGGAAAGGTCTGGACCTCAGGAGAGGTAACTGGTTCCAGAGAGCTGGGGCAGCCACAGAGAAGGCCCTCCCCCACGGGCCCGCCAGCCGGTATTGTTTAGCTGACGGGACCCGGAGGAGACCAACTCTGTGGGATCTTACCGGTCGCTGGGAGGTATGCAGTAGAAGGTCTCGAAGATAGCCTGGCCCTGAGCCATGTAGGGCTTTAAAGGTAATAACCAACACCTTGAATTGTGCCCGGAGACCGATAGGGAGCCAGTGCAGCTTGCGGAGAATTGGTGTAATGTGGGTGTATCTAGGTGCACCCACAGCTGCATTCTGGACCAACTGTAGTCTCCGAACCACAGGGAAAACTAGCTACCGGATCCACTGATCCGGTCTGATCCGAGAGCATTTCACCCCTGGGTTGTCCCATTTCTTCTTGAAACCCTCCAGTGATGGAGCACCCAAACTTCTGGAGGCAAAGTCATTCCACTGCCGGCTTAATTGTTCTCACTGCCAAGAAATTTCTCCTTAGTTCTAAGTTGGATCTCTCTTGAATGAACTTCCACCTGTTACTTCTTGACATGGTCTCAAGTAGTCGGGAGAATAATTTGATCCCTTCTTCCCTGTGGCAGCCCTTGAAGTACAGGAAGACGAGTGGCATATAAATTTGATAAATAATAATTAAGATCAGGGGTGAAATCTACTTACCTTTCCTACCGGTTCGGAAGTGCGCGCTCCACGCATGCGCATCATGTGCAATTTTGGACCCTCTGCACATGCACAAAGCCTTCTGCGCATGTGCAGAGGGTCAAAAACAGGTTACTTCCTGATTAAAACCAGGAAGTAATGATGTACGGGCAGGTGGGCAAAGCCTCCTGCTGCCGACACTACCGGTTCTCTGAACCACCCGCTGCCGACACTACCGAATCACCCGAACCGGTGCGAACCAGTAGCATTTCACCCCTGATTAAGATGCATGTATTATGTCTCCCCTAAGCCTTCTCTTCATTAGGCAAACATACCTACTAGATTCCTTTAGCTGGTTATAGGATTTAGCCTTCAAATCCCTTGTATATTTTTATGGCATTTCTCTGCACTGTTTCTAGGGCTTCAGCATCTTTTTTGAACTGTGCTTACCAGAACTCGATGCAATATTCTAAATGTGGCCTCACCAGTGTGGTATAAAGCAGCACTATCATTTCTCATAATCTTCACACTATCTTTCTGTTGAATGCAACCGAGGATCACATTGACTGTTCAGGCAGCTGCAGCATACTGCTGGCTCATAGCTTAAAAGGCCGTTCGGGCAGGTTTCTCTCGTGCTATATTTTCTAATGTGCCATGCATAATGGTGTGCTAGGTAAACATGTAGCAATAGCACTTATATACCGCTTCACAGTGCTCTCTAAAGCGGTTTACAGAGTCAGCCTTTTGCCCCCAACAATCTGGGTCCTCATTTTAGTGGCCTCGGAAGGATGGAAAGGCTGAGTCAACCTGTAAGGGCGGAATGCAAACGAGTCCTGGCTTCTCTACAGTTCCTTGGGGCTAAAAGATGCAGTGTTATTTTATTGGGTCTGGATTTCCCTCAGATTAACAGAGTTGGAAGGGACTTGTAGGTCATCTAGTCCAACCCCCTGCCCAAGCAGGAAACCTATTTCTCCTGCTTGGGCGGGAGTATTTGGGTGGGAAATAGTACACTATTTCTGGCAGATGGCAGTCCAGTCTCTTCTTGAAAGCCTCCAGGGATGTGTATGTGTATGTGTATTTTGTGTGTTTATATATGTAATAAAAATTTATATATATAAAAAAGAAAGCCTCCAGGGATGAAGCTCCCACAACTTCCGAAGGCAACTTCTGTTCCATGGGTTGATTGTTCTCACTGTCAGAAAATTCCTCCTTATTTCCAGATTGAATCTCTCCTTGTTCATTTTTTCCATCCATTATTTCTTGTTTGTCCATCCAATGTGAATGCACACAGTCTGTTAAGCCACTATTCTGCCTCACAGTCCACATATGAATTTAGACCCCTTAAAGCAGTGTTTCTCAACCTCAGCAACTTTAAGATGTGTAGAGGTCAACTTCCAGAAATCAGCTTTAAGATATACAGATTTCAATTCCCAGAATTCAGGAAAAATGTGTGGACAGAATTCAGCTTTAAGTTATAATGAAGAGAAGGACCAGGGAAGACAGGATAGCAGTGTTCCAATATTGGAGGGGCTGCCACAGAGAGGAGGAAGGGGGTCAACCTGTTTTCCAAAGCATCTGAAGGCCAGACAAGGAATAATGAATGGAAACTGATCAAGGAGAGAATCAACCTAGAAATAAGAGAAATTTTCCGATAGTGAGAACAGTTAATCAGTGGAACACCTTCAAAAGTTGTGGGAGCTTCATCACTGGAGGTTTTCAAGAAGAGACTGGACTGCCATTTGTCAGAAATGATGTAGGCAGTGGTGGGATTCAGCCAGTTCGCACCACTTCAGGAGAACCGGCTGTTAACTTTCTGAGCAGTTTGGCAAACTGGTTGTTGGAAGAAATCATTAGGGCAGAGAACCGGTTGTTAAATTACTTGAATCCCACCACTGGATGTAGGGTCTGTTTGGGTGGAGGGTTGGACTAGATGACCTGTCCTACAAGGTTCCTTCCAACTCTATTAATCTGTCTAAACTATCTGTCAATTCCCAGAATTCAACTTAAATTGTGTGGGCTTCAACTCCCAAAATTCCCAGGCCAGTTATGATAGCTGGGGGAATTCTAGGAAGTAAAATCCACACATCTTAAAATTGCAGCTGTTGAGAAACACCACTGTAATGTTCCATTAAGCAGGGAATCCCTGCTAACCAGTTCACACCACTGCCTTTTATACAATCTGGCAATTTCTCACACTTAAATGCTGAAGGGTATGACGCCCATATGTGGTTCCAATAGAAGAAAAACTCTGTCGCTCAGGGTTAACCTGTGGAATCTTTGGGGCTCTGTTGAGCTTGCTTGTAGACGTTTCATGACTCAACTAAGCAACATCATCAGCATCAAGGGATATATACTGGCAATATTTTTTTTAAAAAAATCCATATTCTTTCTGATAGCCACAAACAATATTTTCAGGTTGTCAAAATAGAACAACGCTGACAACAAAATTCCCATATATCATCCAACAAAATGACCAGTCACACATCCCTTGAAAGGATGCAGATAGGAAGGGGGTCAAAAAAGGCAAGATGGCAGCTCCAAGCACTCAATCCCAACCCTGCCCCTTTTTGTGTGCAAGAAGGTTGTGGCTGCCATTGTGACTTTCTTTGACTCCCTTCCTGCAGACCAGGGGTGGGTTCTAAATTTTTTTACTACCAGTTCTGTGGGCGTGGCTTATTTTGTAGGCGTGGCTTGATGGTCATGTGACAATTATTTAGGATTTAGCAGAGGTACTGGTCTACCAGGCTTTTAACTGCTTGCAGAGCTGTACCGATCTACCCATTTATTTTTTGCAGGCACTGATTTACTCATGTATTTTTGCAGGCACCAGTCTACTCATTTGTTTTCTTTTAACTCTGATCAGCTGTAGGGCAGCCCTTTGAAGTCCTGCGGCAAGAGTTTAAACAGCTTTTTTCCCTCTAGCCGATAGCTGGGACTCAGGAGGCAGCAATAGATTGGGGGTGGGGTCAAATAAAAAGTAAGAATAACGCGGGGGGGCAGGGGGCAGGGGACGTGGGGGGCAGAACCGGTTCGGTGACATCATATTGTCACCGCTACCAGCTCGGCAGAACCGGGCCGAACCGGGAGGAACCCACCACTGCTGCAGACTCCCCCATGTACAGCCTGGCTTCCTTTCGCTCTCCACAACTTTTCACCAGGCACACAACCACCACACAAATGGTTGTTTGAGCTACATTTTGTCCAGATGTAATTAAGAAGGTACCTGCACTAATAAAAAAATGTCTTTAATACACGTGCTTTAAATTTCAATGTACTCTCATCAACTTTTCACACCATAGAAATTTTAAAAATATATTTACATTAGAAAGAAGAGTCATACCAATACAGGTAGTTCTTGACTTATGAACACAATTGAGCCCAACATTTCTGTTGCTAAGAGAGATATTTGTTAAATGAGTTTTTCCCCATTTTACAACCTTTCTTGCCACAGCTGATAAGTAGAACCACTGCAGTTGTTAAGTTAGTTACACAGTTCTTAAGTGAATCTGGTTTTCCCGTTGACTTTGCTAATCAGAAGGTCACAAAAATATGTCTCAGTTGTCAAGTGTCTGAATTTTGATCACATGTCCATGAGGATGTCGCAATGGTTATAAGTGTGAAAAACAGTCATTTAAGTCACTTTTTTCAGTGCCGTTGTAAGTTTGAAAGTCACTAAACAAACTATTGTAAGTCAAGATTTTCTATATTGAAGGAAAACAGATCAGTGTCATCCCGAAGCTACTCAGAGGTATGAAGTCACCCAAGTCCACCAAAGAATTGTTTGGCTGAGTTTCCAGGAAGATCCTCCTATGAACATTTCATATCCAAAGTCCCCCTGGCCAGGACAAGGTCATATGCTAGAGTTGCTGGACTGGAGTTTCAGGCTGTTGGAAGACGTGCACTGCATGGAATTCGACCTGCGAGACTGCCACACTTTGGCCAAGTACCAAAGGAAGATGAAGAAGCCTGGAGAAACAGGAGGAGATCACAGATGTTAAGCAGTTCCTGGAAGGGAGTGAGGAATTTGGACACATGGATAGAACTGCAGTCAGGGGTGAAATTCAGCAGGTTCTGACAGGTTCTGGAGAACCGGTAGCGGAAATTTTGAGTAGTTTGGTGTTATGAGCAGATTTTTGGAACCAGAGATCACTTTGAGCATGGATCAGGGGTGAAATTCAGCAGGTTTTGACAGGTTCTGGAGAACCGGTAGCGGAAATTTTGAGTAGTTTGGAGAATTGGCAAATACCACCTCTGGCTAGCCCCAGAGTGGGGTGGGAATGGGGATTTTGCAGTATCCTTCCCCCAGGAGTGGGGAGGGAATGGAGATTTTGCAGTATCCTTCCCCTGCCATGCCCGCCAAGCCACGCCCACCAAGCCACACCACGCCCACCAAGCTCCGCCCACAGAACCGGTAGTAAAAAAATTTGAATTCCACCACTGACTGCAGTATAATGTTGTACTGTAGGAATACCCTTGAAGAAAGGAGGAAGAGCTGCAGCCAAGGCAACAGATAGATAAAAAGAAATCTCAGTCCGGGGCAGAAATGTAAATCAGACTTGCAAGTTTCAGTTGCTCATAATAAAAGTAGACAACAGAATAATAGAGTTGGAGCTGGAGAAACAGAAGATCACTGATGTTTAGCAGTTCCTGGAAGGGAGCGAAGAATTTGAACACACAGATAGAACTGCAGTGTAATGCAGGGGTGAAATGCTCCCGGTTCGGACCGGATCGCTCGATCCGGTAGCGATGGAGGCAGGTGGTTTGGAGAACTGGTAGCAAAAATCCTTGGCCCCCCACATCCCATGCCCAGCTGAGCCACGCAGTCATCAGAGGCTTTTTTTCTTTTAAATGCCTCTGACAATCCAAGCTGAGTTGCCTGATCGGCAGAGGCTTTTAATCAGGCAACTCAGCTTGGATCGTCAGAGGCATTTAAAAGAAAAAAAGCCTCTGATGATCAGGCAACTCAGCTGGGATCATCAGAGCCTTTTGAAAGCATTTTTTTTACAACCTCTTGTAAAAGGTTGTAGAAAAAATGGTTTTAAAAGTTAAAAAAAAAATTGGCCATGCCCACCCAGTCACATTACCCCCACCACCACCAAGCCACGCCCATAGAACCGGTAGTAACACATTTTAGATTTCACCACTGGTGTAATGTTGTACTGTAGGAATAACCTTGAGGAAAGGAGGAAGAGCTGCAGCCAAAGAAACAGATAGATTAAAGAAATTTGGGTCCAGGGCAGAAATGTAATCTGAGAAAGCATCTAAGACAGAAACTCTCTAGTTCATGTGAAGATAAAGGAAGGGAGGTGGACATGCAGTCGGACTTTCAAGGTTCTATTACTATAACCGTATCTTAAAAGTAGATAATAGACAATGGAATGATAGAGTTGGAGCTGGAGAAACAGGAGGAGATCTTAATTAATAATTGCCCCAAAATCTTCCAATAGGAATTGTCTTCACTTCAACTCCTAGGTGCTCTAACTTTCCCACTACAATTGTTATACGTGGTAGATTGGTTAGGTCGATGAGATTGGTTCTACTTGAAGCCTTTGTCTACAAGGGTGGGATTGAAAAATTTCAGCAATTGGTTTGCTGCCTGGTTGCTGGGGGGGGGCGTTGCTTACTCAGTCTCCTGCAACACAGCAGAGGGGGGATGTTTTCACACTTCCTAGGCTCCAGAGACTTTCCTCGAGCCTCCAGGAGGGTGAAAATAGCTTCCCCCGGGCACCAGAAGCCCTCTGGAGGCCAGAAATGGGCCCATTTCCAGACATCTGGTACTTCCTGTTTTTTGCCCTCCCCAGGCTCCGGAGGCTTTCCTAGACTCTCCAGGAGGGCAAAAACGGCCTTTCCCGTGCACCAGAGGCCCTCCAGAGGCCAGAAACAGGCCCTTTTCTGGAATTCCGGTAGGCCCATTTTTCGCCCTCCCAGAGCCTCCGTGTGCGCCCTGCACTCCCCTGCCCTTCAGGGGAGCGGGGAGACTCCTGGGAGGGGAAAGCTGGGCAGGGTCAGCCAGTCCTTGGAAGAACCGGTTCGGTGCACCAGATTAAAATTAACATCCGGTTCACCCGAACTGGTTCGAACCGGCTGAATCCCACCCTTGTTTGTCTACCTGGAGATGCTGGAAGTCAATCTAAGACTTCTCCAAACAAATCATGGGTTCTACTTACCATCCTCTAGGGTCAGCTTCAGTTACAAATTAGATCAATATTTCTCAGTCTTGGCAATGTTCAAATGGGTGGACATCAACATTCAGAATTCTGGAGTTGGAGTCCACCCCTCTGAAAGTTGCAAAGTTTCAAAACATTGAATTAGATTGAAAAGGTGCATCTCAAGTTAGCAGTGATCTCCATATTACATAACAGGAGAAGCCCAAAGGTAGGAGACCAGAAGTAGACCTCACCCTGTGACCTTGAAGAGAGTTGATGATGGAGAAAAGTTAGACGAGCAGCAACTTGATCATCCCATCCTCTTAGGATCTCCTTCACTTTCACAAGCTCAGATTGAATTGAAAAGATGAAGTCACAGAGCCAAAATGCAACTCTCTCTTGTGTTGTGTGAAAATCCAGGGGACAAAAACTGATAAGGTGGCAGACCTCAAGAGTAAGAGGAGCAGGAATACTCACTGACCTTGGAGACAGTTGATGATGGTGAAAAGATACACGCCCACCAGCTTGAAGGTCCCAGAAGCAACCCCAAAGAAGGCCACCCCCCACGGGATGCCCAGGACACAGCTCAGGCCCAGGAGCATCACCACATATCCCCAGTGATGCTCTCGATGTCTCAGCTTGAGAATCTCATACACCATGATGGCCAGCATGATGCTGTTGAACAAGAACACCAGGCTTAAATAGCCCAAATTCAGGAAATTGTTGATCTCCATTTTGGTAATCCAACAGCTGGAGGAGAAGAAGAGAAAAACACAGAAAGGTTAAGTCTACGCACTATTTAACTAGCTGGAAGGTGCATGAAAACTGGAATATGAGCATCAAATAGGCTGGGAAATTTTCTTTAAGCTGACACCTTCCCCCAAAACAGGAATTTCCAGGATGCTCCAGGGCCAATCATGAGTGTGATGCATCCCATTCTTTTTGTGGCCTCTGCTCATTCCCTGATTCTCTCGTTCTCCAAGAAACTTGCTTGATGGAAATGTATAAAACAACATCATTTGTTTTATAATGAGACACGAGGGACAAAAAGATGGGCCATGCAAAGCGGGGCTTAATGAGCCTAGTCATAATACATCTTGATAGAATCACAGAATCCCAGGACTGGAAGGGATCTTCAAGGTCTTCTACTCCAACCTAATGCCCAAGAGCTTACACCATCCTGGAAAAATGTTGTCCAATCTTTTCTTGAAACCTTCTAGTGCTGGAGCATTCATCCATCCATCCATCCATCCATCCATCCATCCTACCATCCATCCATCCATCCATCCATCCATCCATCCATCCATCCATCCATCCATCCAACCATCCATCCATCCATCCATCCATCCATCCATCCATCCATCCTACCATCCATCCATCCATCCATCCATCCATCCATCCATCCTACCATCCATCCATCCATCCATCCATCCATCCATCCATCCATCCATCCATCCATCCAGCAATGGAGCACATTCATGATATGAGATTAGAAGAAATTAATCTGGGAAATTATGATATAGATGAAATTCAAATATTGAGGTTGAAACAGAAGGGGAGACAGTTACTCTGTGTAAATATTTATGCACCACCCAGACAACAAATAATGTGGGCTAACCTGGAAAAGTCTTTAGTTGACATATTACATCAATGATTTAATTGTGACCTATTACTTTCTGAAACCCAAGATAGGGCCCCCTATACTATCAAACTATTTACTCAAACTGTATTACTATTCTTCTTCTCTTCCTTACTAGTACCTATCTCTTCCCACTTATGACTATAACCACGTTGCTTGTATCTTTACAATTTATATTGTTTTACTTGTTTCCTAGTACGACTTGATTGCTTATTAGTAAGACTATCACTAAGTATTGTATCTTATGATACTTGATGAATGTATTTTGTTTTTCTTTATGTACACTGATGCACCAAAGACAAATTCCTTGTGTGTCCAATCACACTTTATCAATAAGGAATTATTTGACCATCTATGACTGTTTGTGAGGACTTTAACGCTAGTATTGACCCAGATTTGGTAATACTGAATCTAAAGGATAAAAACTTTTATGAATTGGAGGCCACTTTCCCTCTGGGACATATATCTCATAATAAAACCCAAAGTAAACACAGATTAGAATTACATAAATTAATGTATATATTACAAAATTTATACATTCAGTCTATATGGATCACAATGGGATCAGTTCGGGTTCCTATACATCAGTCAGCCAGAAATAGGTGCAGTTGTTGATTATATATTATTTTTGACAGTGAGAACAATCAACCAATGGAACAGAAGTTGCCTTCAGAAGTTGTGGGAGCTTCATCACTTGAGACTTTCAAGAAAAGATTGGACTGCCATTTGTCAGAAATGGTGTAGGGTCTCCTGCTTAGGTGGGGGTTTAGACTAGATGACCTATAAAGTCCCTTCCAACTCTGTTAATCTGTTAAATATGTTCATATCACCCTCAAGGATATGATTTAGTATAGTAACATCTCTAGATGTTGGGTCTGAGCCTCTGCTACCCAGAGATGGACGGTTGTTAAAATAGGGGGCATTTTGTTCTATTCCCTCAGGAACTTACATGGCTGAAATGGTGTAATTACCAGGAGACTCGTAGACCTTAAAAGAGGAAAGCCCATAGTAGGACTGATCGATCCCAAAAATTAGGCATATGATGAGTGTAGGAAGACCTGCAGAGGAGAACAGCTGGAGTTAATGCCAGATCCAGATCCAGATCCCCCTCCCCTAATTCCGCAACAATTGTTGAAAGGTAAGTTCAAGCCAGTACCAAAATGGGAAAGAAATCCTAGATAATTAGATAATATGATTAGATTAATAATCTTAGAGGAATTATTGAGTCTGTCATCTGTTGAGATGGACAAGGTTGAGAGACGTTCTTGGAGATTAAATGAGAATGTTGTTTAGATATGAAAAAAATACAACAGAACTTAAAAAGCATTTGAAAGAATTTTTTGAAATAAATTTGAATAAAGGTACCCCAATTGAAATTGTGTGGGATGCAAGTAAAGCTTATATGAGAGGGGTACTTATCTATATGAATTCTAAACATAGACTGTTCCGACAAAAGAAAAGATCTGAATTGGAAATAGAAATAAAGAAAAAAGAACAGTTACTTATTAAAAATCCAACAGATGGAAGAATACGTAGTGCTATAAAACTTTTGAAAGACCAATTTCAAATGCTTATGGCGGAACAAGTTGCAACAAACTTACAATATGCAAAGCATAATACATTTTGCAACGCTAATAAACCGGGCAGATGGTTGGCTTACACATTGAGGAAAAAACAAAGTATACGGACTATTGATAGTATTGATATTGGAGGGAAAGAAATTTTTCAACAAAAATTAATTAAAGAAGCTTTTGTGGACTATTATACCAAACTATATGCCAAAGAGGAGGTGCAGAATGGACTTATAGAAAAATATTTAAACGATAAAAGAGTTACAAAAATTACTGATCAACAAAAGGAAAGAATGAATTATCCCATAACAGAGGAGGAGATAATAGTAGCAATTAAACAGTTAAAAACAGCCAAAGCTCCTGGCACGGATGGCTTGACCGCAGTGTATTACAAAACTTTGCAAGCTGAAATGGTGGAACAACTTAGAGATTTATTTTGCAATATTCAGCAAGGGGGTAAAATACCCCCATCATGGACAACAGCTTACATATCTTTGATACCAAAAGAACAAATTGGTCCTAAAAAACCAGAGAACTATAGACCAATATCTCTTTTGAATACAGATTATAAAATTTTTGCGAAAGTACTAGCCAACAGGTTGATGCCAGTAATTCAGAAGGTGATTCATGATGATCAAGCGGGATTTATCGAGGGCAGATATATGAAGGACAATGTAAGGCAAGTAATAGATTTATTGGAATATCTTGAGAAGAATAAACAGATCCCTGCAGTGCTGGTCTTCTTGGATGCAGAGAAGGCCTTTGACAGAGTGGATTGGAATTTTCTATTCAAGACTTTGAAAAAGATGGACTTTGGGGATCAATTTATACAGGCGATTTCGGCAATTTATCAAGAGCAAAAGGCACAGATCATTATTAATGGAAGTCTGACAACAGAGTTTAAAATTGAAAAAGGAACAAGACAGGGATGTCCGCTGTCCCCACTTTTATTTATTTTAACACTAGAAGTCTTGCTAAATACAATACGGGACTCTAATATCTTGAGAGGTATAAAGATTAGGCAAGAGGATTACAGAATAAAGGCATTTGCAGATGATCTGGTTGTTACCCTATCACAACCAATGGAATCAATAATCTTGATGAAGGACATTATACAAGACTATGGTAAAGTTTCAGGTTTTAGATTGAATCCAAAAAAGACTAAAATGATAGCTAAAAATATGACACAAGATCGTAAACATGAGCTTGAAAGGAGGGCAGGTTTTGAGACTGTACCTAAGGTAAAATATCTAGGAGTTCAGGTTGCAGAATCAAATATGAAATTGTTTCAAAATAACTATGAGGTGTTGTGGCGAGAGGTGCAGAAAGATATGGAGACTTGGAAAAAACTGCAGCTGTCTCTACTTGGAAGAATAGCAGCAGTTAAGATGAATATTTTGCCAAGATTTCTTTTTTTGTTTCAAATGATTCCGGTGCTTAAAAGTGATAAACAATTGAAAGTTTGGCAATCTGGAGTGAATAAGTTTGTCTGGAACGAGAAGAAGCCGAGAGTGAAATTGAAAATTATGCAAGATGTTCCAGAAAGAGGAGGTCTTAAACTTCCAAACCTACAGTTATATTATGATGCAGCAGCTTTAACCTTAACAAGTGATTGGTTTGGAAGGAAAAAGACTGGAATATTGAATGCAGAAAGTTTTGATCTTGAATTTGGATGGCATGCTTACTTATTTTACGACGACAAAGTAGATAAAGTATTTAAAAGTCATATACTTAGAGATTCTTTGATGAGAGTTTGGAAGAAGCACCGACTCAAATGGGATTATAAAATACCGCTATGGCTGGATCTTGGTCATACTTTGTGGAATACAAATATAATGTCACTCGGGGGGTTTTTATATAAAGAGGTTCTTTTTACAGATGCGGGCAGATGGCAGTTGAAGACATTGCAGACACTGTTGGACGAAGGGATTAATTTAACTTGGTTACAGTATAATCAATTACAATTGAGATGGAAAGAGGACCAAAAAACTGGTATTATGTTGCATGAGGAAGAATTGGTTAGACATATAAGAGAGAAAGGTCCAATGCATATCAAAAGGCTTTATAATGTTTTGCTAGAAAGAGATTCAGAAACTGAATTAGTTAAAGACTGTATGATTAAGTGGGCACAGAATTTTGAAGAACCAGTGATGCTGGAAACATGGGAAAAAATTTGGGTTCAGAATGTTAAATTTACACAGTCGCAGAATCTGAGGGAAAATTTCTACAAAATGTTTTATAGATGGCATTTAGATCCCAAAAAGTTGTCATGTATGTACCCTAATGTTCAGCCAAAATGTTGGAGATGTGAATGTTTGGATGCTACGTATTATCATGTTTGGTGGACCTGTAGGAAAGTTAAAGCTTTTTGGATAAAAATTTGGTGGGTCATGCAGAATGTTTTGAAGAAAAAAAATCAATTTTCTCCACAACTGTTTTTATTGGGTATAGTTAAGGGTTTTACATTGGGTGAAACAAAATTGATATTGTATATGATAACAGCAGCAAGATTGTTGATAGGTAAATATTGGAAAAACGAAGCTTTGCCCACTATTGAGGAATGGACTTTGAAGATGGCCAGTTTTGCAGAGATGGCGAAGATTTCAGCATATTTAAAAGACTGTTCACAAGAGACTTATGAGTGGGAATGGAAAAGGTGGATAGAATATGTTCAGAACAAATATCAAATTAGAAAGTATCAAATAGCTTTTATTTGAAAATAATGTAATGTAGTGGAAATATTTTAATGTAATGAGGTAAAGAGAAAAATTACACAGGGGAGGGAGGGGTTCAAGTTTACATATAAGTGTTATATTAAGGGTTTTTATGAGTATGAATATATTATAGGGAAGTCTGGGGGGAGGGGAGGGTTAGGGAGGGTTAGGGAGGTTGGGAAGTTTGGGGGGGAAGCGGGGGGGGAAAAGGGGTGAAAATGTAATTGTAAAACTTTTGCAATAAAAAAAAAAGAAAAGGTGCATCTCAAGTTAGCAGTGATCTCCATATTACATAACAGGAGAAGCCCAAAGGTAGGAGACCAGAAGTAGACCTCACCCTGTGACCTTGAAGAGAGTTGATGATGGAGAAAAGTTAGACGAGCAGCAACTTGATCATCCCATCCTCTTAGGATCTCCTTCACTTTCACAAGCTCAGATTGAATTGAAAAGATGAAGTCACAGAGCCAAAATGCAACTCTCTCTTGTGTTGCGTGAAAATCCAGGGGACAAAAACTGATAAGGTGACAGACCTCAAGAGTAAGGGGAGCAGGAATACTCACTGACCTTGGAGACAGTTGATGATAGTGAAAAGATACACGGCCACCAGCTTGAAGGTCTCAGAAGCAATTGCAAAGAAGACCAGCCCCCACGGGATGCCCAGGACACAGCTCAGGCCCAGGAGCATCACCACATATCCCCAGTGACGCTTTTGATGTTTCAGCCTGAGAATCTCATACACCATGATGGTCAGCATGATGCTGTTGAACAAGAACACCAGGCTTAAATAACCCAAATTCAGGAAACTGTTGATCTCCATTTTGGTAATCCAACAGCTGGAGAAGAAGAGAAAAAACAGAAATATAAGTCTAGGTACTATTTAACTAACTGGAAGGTGCATGAAAACTGGAATATGAGCATTCAAATAGGCTGGGAAATTTTCTTTAAGCTGACACCTTCCCCCAAAACAGGAATTTTCAGGATGCTCCAGGGCCAATCATGAATGTGATACATCCCATTCGTTTTGTGGCCTCTGCTCATTCCCTGATTCTCTCGTTCTCCAAGAAACTTGGTTGATGGAAATGTATAAAACAACATCATTTGTTTTATAATGAGCCACGAGGGACAAAAAGATGGGCCATGCTAAGCGGGGCTTAATGAGTCTAGTCATAATACATCTTGATAGAATCACAGAATCCCAGGACTGGAAGGGATCTTCAAGGTCTTCTACTCCAACCTAATGCCCAAGAGCTTACACCATCCTGGACAAATGTTGTCCAATCTTTTCTTGAAACCTTCTAGTGCTGGAGCATCCATCCATCCATCCATCCATCCATCCATCCATCTATCCATCCATCCTACCAGCCATCCATCCATCCAGCCAGCCAGCAATGGAGCACATTCATGATATGAGATTAGAAGAAATTAATCTGGGAAATTATGATATAGATGAAATTCAAATATTGAGGTTGAAACAGAAGGGGAGAGAGTTACTCTGTGTAAACATTTATGCACCACCCAGACAACAAATAATGTGGGTTAACCTGGAAAAGTCTTTAGTTGACATATTACATCAATGATTTAATTGTGACCTATTACTTTCTGAAACCCAAGATAGGGCCCCCTATACTGTCAAACTATTTACTCAAACTGTATTACTATTATTCTTCTCATCCTTCCTAGTACCTATCTCTTCCCACTTATGACTATAACCACGTTGCTTGTATCTTTACAATTTATATTGTTTTACTTGTTTCCTAGTACGACTTGATTGCTTATTAGTAACCTATGACTATCACTAAGTGTTGTATCTTATGATTCTTGATGAATGTATTTTATTTTTCTTTATGTACACTAATGCACCAAAGACAAATTCCTTGTGTGTCCAATCACACTTTATCAATAAGGAATTATTTGACCATCTATGACTGTTTGTGAGGACTTTAATGCTAGTATTGACCCAGATTTGGTAATACTGAATCTAAAGGATAAAGACTTTTATGAATTGGAGGCCACTTTCCCTCTGGGACATATATCTCATGATAAAACCCAAAATAAACACAGATTAGAACTACATAAATTAATGTATATATTACAAAAATTTATACATTGTCTATATGGATCACAATGGGATCAGTTCGGGTTCCTATATATCAGTCAGCCAGAAATAGGTGCAGTTGTTGATTATATATTATTTCTGACAGTGAGAACAATCAACCAATGGAACAGAAGTTGCCTTCAGAAGTTGTGGGAGCTTCATCACTTGAGACTTTCAAGAAAAGATTGGACTGCCATTTGTCAGAAATGGTGTAGGGTCTCCTGCTTAGGTGGGGGTTTAGACTAGATGACCTATAAAGTCCCTTCCAACTCTGTTAATCTGTTAAATATGTTAATATCACCCTCAAGGATATGATTTAGTACAGTAACATCTCCAGATGTTGGGTCTGAGCCTCTGCTACCCAGAGATGGACGGTTGTTAAAATAGGGGGCATTTTGTTCTATTCCCTCAGGAACTTACATGGCTGAAATGGTGTAATTACCAGGAGACTCATAGACCTTAAAAGAGGAAAGCCCATAGTAGGACTGATCAATCCCAAAAATTAGGCATATGATGAGTGTAGGAAGACCTGCAGAGGAGAACAGCTGGAGTTAATGCCAGATACAGATACAGATCCCCCTCCCTAATTCCGCAACAATTGTTGAAAGGTAAGTTCAAGCCAGTACCAAAATGGGAAAGAAATCCTAGATAATTAGATAATATGATTAGATTAATAATCTTAGAGGAATTATTGAGTCTGTCATCTGCACCTCCATAACTGTCTGGTTTGGCTCTACAACCCAAACAAGACAGACACAGACTTCAGGGGATAATTAGAACTGCAGAAAAAACCATGGCTACCAACTGCCTTCCATGGAGGACCCGTATACTGCATGAGTCAAAAAGAGGGCTGGGAAAATATCTACAGACCCCTCGCATCCTGGATATAAACTGTTTCAACTCCTACCCTCAAAACGACGCTCTAGAGCACTGCACACCAGAACAACTAGACACAAGGACAGTTTTTTCCCGAACGCCATCACTCTGCTAAACAAATAATTCCCTCAACACTGTCAAATAATTTACTAAGACTGTATTACTATTCTTCTTCTCTTCCTTACTAGTACCTATCTCTTTCCACTTATTACTATAACCATGCTTCTTGTATCTTTCAATTTATATTGTTTTTTTACTTGTTTCCTAGTACAAATTGATAGCTTATTAGTAACCTTGACTATCACTAAGTGTTGCATCTTTTTATTCTTGATGAATGTATTTATTCTCCTTATGTACACTGAGAGCATATGCACCAAAGACAAATTCCTTGTGTGTCCAATCACACTTGGGCAATAAAGAATTCTATTCTATTCTATTCTATTCTATTCTATTTATTCTATTCTATTCTATTCTATTCTATTCTATTCTATTCTATTCTACTCTACTCTACTCTACTCTACTCTACTCTACTCTACTCTACTCTACTCTATACCATTCTATAAAATATAATAGTTCCAGAGTAAGAGATAGTGAGAGACAGATCCAAAACAAGGATGCAAAAAAAGAGAGCCTTTTATCACTCACCCCAACCGATTAAGGACAGCTTGACAAGTAAGCATTTCATGTAGGAGTTGAAGACTTGGATCACCAGCCGATAGAGATTGTAGCCCTCAATGCCCATCCAGGTCAAGCACGCAAGCATGGCAAAGTGTAGGAGCATCCCACTAGCTTTGCAAGCTATGTCTCCTCCCTCAAGAGCCACGTACACCGCAATGAGGAAGCTCATGTCAAGAAGAAAGATGGCCCAGAGGAGATTCATGTGGACATAGACGATGTGGTCTCTCTGCTTTTTCCTGTGAAGAAGGAAGAGCATCGTACTTCTCTTCTTGGTTCTATGAGACTCTAAGCTGCAGTCATGAAATGTCTTAGCACCGGTTGTAAGAAAGGGTTTGATCCCCAAGACCTGATCCCTGTGTTATCTAACCTCCTTCCCCCTCCAGATGTTCTGCAGACCATTCTCATAGTCCATTGCTGTTGGCCGTGCTGGTTGGAGCTCATGGAAACTAAAGTCCAAAAGACTGGACAGCCACAGGTCATCGACCTCTGTCCATCTCAGAAAACATATACCCAATGTGAGCACCCTAATCCTTCAAGGTTGCATTATCAGATGCAACCTTCAGATACCTTGCACTGCAGTCAATTGCTATTCACTGAGCTACCTGGGGATTAAAGAAATAGGTTCAAAACAGCCCCAGATCTACTGTTCTGACCCAGCTCCCCAAATACGACAAACCCTCTGTAGCTAAATCAATGATTCCTTTATTAGGAGTGCCGGCAGCCCCGGCAAAATGTTTCTCTCTCACCGCAGTCTGTCCGGCAGGGAGATGAATAGTTGTCTGCCACATCTATTCATCTCCGCTCCCTGCCTTTTATCCCCAGAGCTAGAGTAGGGCTTCCCTAGCAGTGGTGGCTCTTCCATCCCAAGGACCGGCCCATACATTTCCACTGCTCTCCTCTCTTCTGCCTTCTGTGCATCCACGCGTCAGGCACTGGACCCAGCTGTTCCTCCTCTTCCTCATCAGCCACCTCCAGACCTGGGGCCTCTTGACTACATTTTATGGATGGTCCAGGGTCTTCCCTCCCTCTCTCTCTCTCTCAATATATGGGTTCACAGCCACGTATGTGACTTGGGTAAAAAGGACTCACTGCGGATCTTACTCCCCTAGCCATTGCTACTCTGTGGGTGGTGCTCATCTCTTCTTTCAAGGCCATTGAGCCAGCACTGACCGAAGACATGTCATGTGGCCACCAGGACATCACGGGGCACTGTTTCCTCCCCACCAAAATACTACCTATTTATCTATTCTCATTTGCATGCTTTCAGGACAGGAGCTCACCCTGCTGCATGGAGCTCAGGTCTCAAACCTAGGCTGGCAGTTTTCCGGTCGACAAGCCCAGAGCCACAATGCTGCCCAATGTAACTGAGAGCTGGGGAAATTATTTTTCCTGATGCATGTTGAGATGTTCCTGCACATGATCTCATAGTGTTCTTCTTCAATGAGAAACACGGTGTGTCTTTGCTTGTTCCTCTTTCGGTGCTACTCTAACTTCCTTCTAAAGGAAGGAAGTCTTCCTCCTTTCCAAATCCCGATTCAGAGCAAAATATCAATGTATCCTACCTCAAGCAAAGGAAGACAATGGTGATGAATGAAGCCAGAGCTGAAATGATGCAACCAACATAACTGACAATGTTCAGGTATTCCTGGTGGACCTTGTCTATGTCTGAGGAGGGGAGCTGTGGAAGAAAAGGCAGGAAGGAAAAGATCTAACAAGGGTAAACGAGTAAAGACTTTCCAGCAGCTCCAGGACTGAAGGAATCATAAATGTTCTGAATGTGGTTGGATCACAACTAGAAGAATGAGGCCTTCAAGTCCAACTTCCTGTCAGGGGTCGAATCCCTGAAAGCTGTCTGTCTTCCTCTTGAACATATTCTATGAAGAGAAATTTGCTTTCTGTCACTGGTTCTACAACCAGTGGAACAGAAGTTGCCTTCATAAGTTGTGGGTGCTCCATCATTGGAGGCTTTTAAGAGACTGGACAGCCACTTGTCTGGAATGGTGTAAGGTCTCGTGCCTTTAGCAGAGGGTTGGACTCCAAGGTCCCTTCCATCTCAGTTATTTTGTTATTATAACCAAACTGTTCTTACCATTACAAAGCTTTTCCTATGGTTCAGCTACCATCTGTAACTGAGATCCATGATTTGGTATCCTATGCTCTTTGGTGTCAAGGATCAGATCTTCACCTGTGCAACATGCTGCTATCACCGCAGCATGTGGTTGTTGTTTTTGGGGCCAAAGTTATGAAATTCTTTTTAAAATTTAAAATTTTGTATTGGTATGTGTTTTAGTTTTGGCTCTGCACCGCCCTGAGTCCACTAGGAGAAGGGCGGTATACAAATTGAATAAAATAAAATAAAATAAAATAAAATAAAATAAAATAAAATAAAATAAAATAAAATAAAATAAAATAAAATAAAATATGGACAAATGCAAATGGGAATATGGTTTCTCAGTTATCTTTATGGGTACCTTCAAGTCTGTTTTTGATTCTAGATCCGTGATGGTGAACCTATGGCACGCATGCCACAGGTGGCACATGAAGCCATATCTGTGGCACGCAAGCATTGCCCTAGCTCAGCTCCAGTGTGCATGCAAGCAAAGGCAGCTGATTTTTGGGCCTTCTGGGCCCACTGGAAGTCAGGAAATGGGCTGTTTCCAATCTCCGGAGGGCCTCCGGAGGGATGGGAAAGGCAGTTTTTGCCCTCCCCAGTCTCCAAGAAAGGCTCTGGAGCCTGGGGAGGGTGAAAAACAGGCCTACCGGGCCCACTGGGCCATCACGTGCCAAAAGCGGGGGTCGCACAGGGGACGTCATGTGTGCATGCGTGGGGGGCAGGGTGCATTGAATTATGGGTGTGGGTACATGTGCGCAAGACCCCCCCTGTGCTCCCCCCAATTTTGGCACGTGATGGCAAAAAGGTTAGCCATCACTGCTGTAGATAATTGCCTGGACATTTCCTTGCCAAATTATCTTTACTCAAAGCTAAACAGGTGAATCCTTTTAATCCCTCTTTTAGGATTGGTCCTTTCCCCCCCCCCCATGGAATTTATCATTACTCTAGGTCCGTGATGGTGAACCTATGGCACGTGTGCCAGAGGTGGCACGCAGCACCCTCTCTGATGGTACATGAGCCGTCACCCCAGTTCATGGGTGCGCGCCTCCTGCCAGCCAGCTGATTTTCAGGTCTCTGCCCTGCATGTGCAGGGGGTGGGGCACTGTGGGGGGGCCGTGCGTGCAGGCACAGGGGCGCATGTGTGGGGGACATGCACGTATGCGTGGGGCATGGGGCACATGTGCAGGGGCCACACGCATATTGTATTTTGGGGATTCGGGTACGCATGCGTATGCTTTGGGCACCGGAAAAGGTTAGCCATCACTGCTCTAGGTTCATGCAAGTCTACTTCCTGGCAAACCAAGAATGCATTTGCCTACCTTCAGCTTCACTAAATATTGAATAATATTAAATAAATAAATAGAATTCTATTATTATACAGTCAGTTTTTCTTGGTTTGGCTCAAGGGTAAGAGGTCTCCTGAGGCTTTCTGATCCCTCACCATTGGCCAGTCTTTCTGAATTTCTGGGAGTTGTAGTCCTCCATCGTCCTTGGTCCCCATCATGTCCTCTACAGCAGGGGTGCCAAACTCAAGGCTCACAGGCCAGATCCAGCCTGCAGGGTACTTAGAACTGGCCCATGGGGCTCCCTGGAAACAGCAAAGGACCGGCCCACTGCAGCCCTCCCGAGCTCCATTTTCACTGGCAGAGGCTTGCAAGAGGCCGTTGCAGCCAAAAATGGAGCTAAGGCAGGGGTGCTATTCAGCAGGTTCTGACAGGTTCTGGAGAACCGGTAGCGGAAATTTTGAGTAGTTTGGAGAACCAGCAAATACCACTTCTGGCTGGCCCCAGAGTGGGGTGGGAATGGAGATTTTGCAATATCCTTCCCCAGGAGCGGGGAGGGAATGGGGATTTTGCAGTATCCTTTCCCCTGGAGTGGGGTGGGAATGGAGATTTTGCAATATCCTCCCCCCAGGAGTGGGGAGGGAATGTGGATTTTGCGGTATCCTTTCCCCTGGAGTGGGGTGGGAATGGAGATTTTGCAATATCCTTCCCCCAGGAGTGTGACGGGAATGGGGATTTGGCAGTATCCTTCCCTTGCCACACCCACCAAGCCACACCACGCCCACCAAGCCACGCCCACAGAACCGATAGTAAAAAAAATTGGATTTCACCACTGAGCTAGGGAGCCCATTTTCGCTGGTGGAGAGCCCGGACCAAAGGCACTCCCGACACGAGTGGTGTCGAGCTGGCCGCACCCACCCTGCCATCCCCCCCCACCCCCCGAGGTCAAACACAGCCATGATGCGGTTCTCAATGAAATTGAGTTTGACATCCCTGTAAGAGTCCCTTCCAACTCATCTGTTAATCTGTTAAACCCCTGGTCTACAGGATGCTGATATGGAGTTTGGTACTTACCATGAGCACCGCAAAGAAGGTGAGATGGTCACAAAGGCAGGTTGTTTGGTTACCTCTATGCTTCACTTCACAGCCTGATGTATTCCACTTGCCGATGTCACCAGCTACAGTCAAAAGGAGAGGCTACTTTAGAGAAGATTCTCTTGAAGGAGAGGAAATGAAAGGAGAGCTCTGGTGGCTCAGCAGACTAATTAACATCCACTTACATCTGCTGCCTGCAATTACTGCAAGTTCAAATCTCACCAGGCTCAAGGTTGACTCAGCCTTCCATCCTTTCCAAGGTAGGTAAAATGAGGACCCGGATTGTGGGGGCAATAAGCTGACTTTGTATAAATATACAAAAGTATGAAGGCTGTTGCTTAGCGCATTGTAAGCCGCCCTAAGTCTCCGGAGAAGGGCAGCATATAAATCGAACCAATAAATAAATAAATAATAAATAAATAAATAAACTCGAGGACTCCCTGTAGTCCTTCCCCCGCTCAGAGGCAGCCCTCTTTTCTTAGCCCGAAACTGGGGCTGAGATAGGGCAGGCTGGGGACCCCACCGGCTTCCCTCCCCCTTGCTCCTGAGGCCAGAGCCTGCTGGCTCAGCAGATTAAAAGCATTGTAATTAACACCAGCTGTCTGCAATTACTGCAAGTTCAAATCTCACCAGGCTCAAGGTTGACTCAGCCTTCCATCCTTTCAAAGGTAGGTAAAATGAGGACCCGGATTGTGGGGGCAATAAGCTGACTTTGTATAAATATACAAAAGTATGAAGGCTATTGCTTAACGCTTTGTAAGCCGCCCTGAATCTCTGGAGAAGGGCGGCATATAAATTAAAAAAAAAAGAGCCCACCAACCATCATTCTTTTGGTGTTCCTACTGCAAGAAACACTAAAGGAGATGCCCAGAGAAGAGATTGGACAGCCCCACTTGTCCAGAATAGTAAACAAGGGGTTGGACTAGAAGACCTCCATTGTCCCTTTCAACTGTATTATTCTGTTATTCCTTTCAAATCTTCACATTCATGCTCCCAACATCTTTGGACACTTACGCTTGGCGCCCATAACCCAGAAGACACACCAGGGAGTAAAATTCCTCTGAAATAAAACCAAAATTCAAAGAGTGAATATAATGCATGGCTGTTGTTGTTGTTTTTTAAAATATATATATATAAAATACAGGGAACGATCATAGAGACACATGCAATGTTTCTTAGGCTCTGCAAAAGTTTAAGATGTCTGGACTTCAGCTTTAAACTTCAAGCTTCAAGTCAACACTTCAAAGTCCAGGCATCTTAAATGGCTGAGCTTGGGAAATACGGATATATAGTTTTTGATACTTTTGGTCTACATGCAGTTTGGATGAGTCACTGAGATGATTGCAATCATCCATCCATGTGGTATATAAGAGGAACTGAAGATCTGCTCTCCCCCACCCCCATTCCTTTTTTTTCAGATGACACAACATGTTATCATTAGGTGATGTGTTGCTGTCCCATTGTCAATCCTTCTCTCGCCTTGGTTGCTTCTCTTCCCAGTCTAGTTCCTGCCTCCCTCCAAAACTTGGGACAACAAAGCAGATTTGACCCTTGTTGAGCTGTGCAGAGTCATAAATTTGAGATGGGTGGCTAGATAAATTGAAATAATCAATCAATTCATCACTTGATGGCCCTGGAATCTATTTCTCTGATCCTCCTAATTAGGATTAGTCAGCCAGCACTAATGACAAATGATCAGAAACATTACAGAGGCTCACAACCTTCGCTAAGGACTACACAATTGTTATTGTTACCCTTTTTCAGACTGAAAGTGCTAAATAATTATTCTCATAAACTAAATCTCTCTCTGTCTGTCTGTCTGTCTGCCTGCCTGCTTGGCCTACTTGCCTACTTGCCTATCTATCTGTCTGTCTGTCTGCCTCCCTGTCTGCCTGCCTATCTGTCTGTCTGTCTGTCTGTCTGCCTGCCTGCCTACCTGCCTACTTGCCTACTTGCCTATCTTCTGTCTGTCTGTCTGCCTCCCTGTCTGCCTGCCTATCTGTCTGTCTATCTTTCTACCTGTCTACCTGCCTATCTATCTATCTGTCTGTCTGTCTGTCTACCTGCCTGCCCGCCTGCCTGTCTACCTGCCTACCTGCCTGCCTATCTGTCTATCTATCTAGCTCATCTATCATCTATCTCACCTATCCTCTATCATCTGTCTGCCTGTCTGTCTGCCTGCCTGCCTGCCTGCCTTTCTACCTGCCTACTTGCCTACTTGCCTATCTATCTGTCTGTCTGTCTGTCTACCTGCCTGCCTGCCTATCTATCTCATCTATCATCTATCTCACCTATCCTCTATCTGTCTGTCTGTCTGTCTGTCTGTCTGTCTGTCTGTCTGTCTGTCTATCTGTCTGTCTGCTGTGCCATCCCGTTTACTTCTCATTTCTCACATCATTTATGTGAGAAAGCCACAATATATGACTTGGCTTATCCCATACCATAAGAATGTAGAAATGTATGAAGAATTTTGATACAGACCTTCATGGCACTGAAAACAAGCCAAAATCAGGGCAATGGGAAGAAGAGATCTCTGACCTACCTGGTTGTGCCAAAAAGTTATTGATATTCGCTCTTTCGGGAGCAACCCATGGACGGTTGTGTTCCCCACTGAGATGCCAATCACTTTTCCACCAAGGATCGGGTGGGAATCATTATCCTGCCGGAAACAATTTTTAGATTTTAATGATAGGTAGGTAGGTAGGTAGGTAGGTAGGTAGATAGATAGATAGATAGATAGATAGATAGATAGATAGATAGATAGATAGATAGATGATAGAGATAGATAGGTAGGTAGGTAGATATAGATAGATAGATAGATAGATAGATAGATAGATAGATAGATGATAGATAGGTAGGTAGGTAAGTAGGTAGATAGGTAGATTAGATAGATAGATAGATAGATAGATAGATAGATAGATAGATAGATAGGATAGATAGATGGATGATAGATAGGTAGATAGGTAGATTAGATAGATAATAGATAGATAGATAGATAGATAGATAGAGAGAGATAGAGATAGAGATAGAGATAGATAGATAGATAGATAGATAGATAGATAGATAGATGATAGAGATAGATAGATAGGTAGATAGGTAGATATAGATAGATAGATAGATAGATAGATAGATAGATAGATAGATAGAGAATAGAGATAGATAGTAGGTAGATAGGTAGATAGGTAGATAGATAGATCGGTGGGTGGGTGGGTGGGTGGATGGATGGATGGATGGATGGATGATAGATACAGATAAGAGAGAGAGAGAGAGAAAAATAGATAGGCAGATAGACAGAAATTGAGATAGACAAATAGATCGATTTTAAATAGATAGAGAGAGATGGATCTCAATATCCTTCCAGAAACAAAGTTTAGAGAAAGACCAATAGACAGACAGGCCAATAGATAGATAGATATAGACGACAGACAGAGATAAGGGCCATCTTCTGCCTTTTCCCTTTCCGTAACGTATCTGTTCTATGATGCCAATAAATCCACAAAAGCTTTGTGTTGTTAACAGTAACAGCAGCTTCCAAGTTCTTTTCCTGCTTTGCCACAACACACGAACAATGTTCCTGTAGACTAGAGGCTCACAGAGATAACCCTGGCAGAGCCACATGGGAGCCATGAAGACAAAATAAGAGACATCTCCGGCCTTAAGCCTTTCTCCAGGGCCGTTACCTGGAAGAGCACCGGGCTGGTCGCTGCCAACATCACAACTCTTCCCTCCTGGTTGACTTTGGCACCTTTGGCTTTTGCTAAGACTGTTTTTGACAGAGTCACTTGGAACTGGTTGATTTCAACATCCTGTAACACAGAAAACGATGTGGCATTACAGACTCTGATTGGAAAGGAAGAACAGCAGCTGCCTTATAAAGGGAAGGCTGGGACCATCATTTCCCATCTGGATTTTCTTCTCTCTTTTTAAAAAAGTTTGTTTTATTGATTTTACAACAACAACACAACATACAGAACACATAATATGTGTTTCTTTTTACATGTCAGTTTCATTCCTCTTACTTTCTACTTTATACATTCCTCATTTTTCCCATTTTTTATTATCATCGTCTTTATCGTCCCTTTATATCTAATTTCATTCATTTACACTATTTTACAGCTTTGTCACACTCTCCTCTCCATCATTTATTCACATTTACTTTCCCTAAACTCGAGCCAATCGTACCACTTGTTCCATACTTGATAGTATTCTGTATCTTCCTTTTCTTTTATTTCTTTCGTTAATTTGTCCATCTCCGCACAGTCCAGAATTTTCGTAATTATTTCTTCTACCCATCTGGATTTTCTTAATTTGATTTGCATCTACTGGCTCTGGCAACCAGGCAACTTACGCTGCTATCTATAATTTTCCAAATTATTATCGCATTCTTCTTGGGTCAGAATCAGTGCTGGGTTTCAAATTTTTTTACTACCGGTTCTGTGGGTGTGGCTTGGTGGGTGTGGCATGGCTTGGTGGGCGTGGCAGGGGAAGGATACTGTAAAATCTCCATTCCCTCCCCATCCCAGGGGAAGGATACTGCAAAACCCCCATTTCCTCCTGATCAGCTGGGACTTGGAAGGCAGAGAATAGATGGGGGTGGGGCCAGTCAGAATTTTTACTACCAGTTCTCCGAACTACTCAAAATTTCTGCTACCGGTTCTTCAGAACTAGTCAGAACCTGCTGAAACCCACCTCTGATTATATACAGATAGTCCTTCAAGCTGTCAAGGTTGGACACCTCTGTTAAGGGTCTGCTACTCAAGCAGGAGGTTGGACTAGAAGACCTCCAAAGTCCCTTCCAATTCTGTTGTTCAGTATTCTATATTCTGGGGTTTTTTTTGCATCCCAGTTCTGTACTCACCTGCACAATTTCCTCAATGGACAGATTTTTTTTAAGCGTCTCGGGTACAATTTTGTGCACATTGGCAAATATCTTTGATCTCCCAAACCTCTTGTGAAGTCCTTGGAACTGTGTCTCCGTCAACATTGACTCCAGATGTTGGAGATATCTGTTGAGAAAAGGGGAACCAGATGGATCCAGGCAACAGTTCCACGGGTGCCCACCTCCATCAAAGAGGCGGGCTGCCATTTCACTGGTCTATCTTAGTCCAACAGGCAGCAACACCTGCAGCAAATTAGAATGATGTTAGAAGGGCAACACCTGTACAGTACAGGTAGTCCTTGTTTAGTGACAGCCTTTTTTTAAAAAGTTTTTTTATTTTTTTACAAACATATCAATGCATGAACAGTGTGGCACATTCTAATACGAATAAAACTAGTAAAGTTAATCATAGTTACTACACTCAATCAACTTATATATTTCTATTAATAATACACATTTATATGAAGTTGCAGTCTATCATTATCCAATTGTCCCATGTTTTCTCTTGTTATTGCTTTTATTTTATTTATTTATTTATTTTAATTAGATTTGTATGCCGCCCTATCTCCATAGGACTCAGGGTGGCTCACAACAATTAAGATATACAATCTCAATCCAAGTAAGAAACATGTTAAAATACATATTAAACGCATATTAAAATACATTAAAAATCAAAACCCCATCAGTCCAGGCTGGGCAATGTAAACAGCCATGTTTTTAGTTATATAAAAGTGTGTGCGCTAATATTCCCTCTTCTCTTATTTCTCTCTCTTATGCTACCTTTTAATCATGTCACCTTTATATTAAAAAAACATTTTCTTTCTATCCTACCTAACTTCTAGTCATGTCACTTACCTAATAAAAGAAAAGAAAGCGAGAGAAAAGAAAAGCAAATCCAAACAACAAAATAAAAAATAAATCATCTATCCATCATCTCTTGCCCCGTTCACCATTCACTCTTATGGGGGTGCTCTTCGAACGTGATGGACAAACATCATCAACTTGCCTTAATATTAACTTGCTTAATACCCTGTTTCCCCGAAAATAAGACCTCCCCTGATAATAAGCCCAATCGGGCTTTTGAGCGCATGCGCTAAAATAAGCCTCCCCTGAGAATAAGCCCTCCGCGAATATATTTAAACAGTATGAGTGGTTGGAGGATAGGAAAAATGAGAAAGAGGAATGAAGGAGAGAGAAAGAACTGTTAAAATTAAGAGAGAAAATTGGTAAATTATAATATAAATGACTGAAATGTAAAGATCAAGCAAAATGTAGATGAAATAAAGAAGATAAATAGCAATATGGAATAAGATAAAATTAAAATACGAATAAATAGTAAATATTAAGAAAGGATCACTATGAAAAAGGTGTAAAAAAGAGTTTATGTATATAAATGTTGTATGTTTGTGTTTTGTTTTAATGTGTTTACAATAAAAACTTTTTTTTAAAAAAAATTTTTTTGAAAAAAGAAAGAAAATATTTAAACGCATGCACAGCTGGTCCCTGCCATTTCCTCTGGTTTCCTCCACATGCCCCCAAATAATAAGACCTCCCCAAAAATAAAGCCAAACGCATATTTTGGGCTTCAAAAGAATATAAGACAGGGTCTTATTTTCGGGGAAACATGGTATTTCTCAACCTCAGCAACTTCAAGAAGAATTGTCTTCAATTCCCAGCTGGTTTGGGAATTCTGGGAATTGAAGCCCACTCTTCTTGAAGTTGCTGAGGTTGAGAATCAACTAGGTTTGAACCAGGGGTGAAATCCAAAATGTTTCCCTACCGGTTCTGTGGGTATGGCTTGGTGGCCATGGCAGGGAAAGGATACTGCAAAATCTTCCTGGGGGAAGGATATTGCAAAATTTCCATTCCCACCCCACTCTGGGGCCAGCCAGAGATGGTATTTGCCAGTTCTCTGAACTACTCAAAATTTCCGCTACCGGTTCTCCAGAACTTGTTAGAACCTGCTGGATTTCACCCGTGGTTTGAACCTAGGGAATGTAGATGAAAAAAGTAAGCCCATTCGGTTTTGGAGCTATGAGGAATCAAAGGCCCAGTTCTCTTTTCTTCACTAGTACAGGCGGCCATTAGCCCACATATACTCACATAAAGGGATCTTCGCGTATGACACTCCTACTTGGCTGAGGCATTTCTAAGTTTCTCAGTTTTGATTCTATTCTTCTAATTTCTGTTTCCACGTCATTTGTTCCATCGGGGTTTCTTTCCCCCCACACTGCTGGATAAAGCAAGAAAGAACATAACAGAGAAGCACCTTGCTCACCAGAGGCCTCCCCTGAGGAACATCTAGTGATGGATCTTAGAAGGGAAGGCGAGGTGTTGTGCTCCATAGAAAGGGAGACAGCTGTATATTACCTGGGAGCTGGAGAAGGAGGAGGAGAAGATAAAAAGGCATCCCGGGAGCTCTGGTCTCAATCCAGATGCTGCAGAGGCTTGATGTTGGTTTACACAAACCAGGTTTCCTTGCACAACCTCTAATAGCTTGGCTCTCCTTCAACGTACCTGGAAAAGTGTGCAGTTCTGGAAGTTAAGACCTCACCATTGTCTTTCAGGAAGGGCACAAATGAGGTGTGAATATATCCTGGAATTGGTATGCTTTTAAAGTGGGTCCCTCATGAATATATATAGTACAAACCACATTTAAGATCCTTAGTTCCTCACCGCTGACTTCCATGAAAGAGACAAGAGCAGCACCTCCACTCTACCTGGGAAGGTGGGATTCACTTACCTTACCTACCAGTTCGGAAATGTGAGGGCACACGCCACCTCTGCGCATGTGCAGTAATCATGCATTATGTCCAAGAGGTGGGCGGAGCCTCCCGTAGTCGCCGCTACCAGTTCGTGCGATCCGGATAGAACCGTCTGAATCCCACCACTGACTCTACCCCAATTGGAGATACTATAATGGTCTTTAAAACATAGAAAGAGAGTAGGTCCATCAGTGGTGAAATCCAATTTTTTTTTACTACCGGTTCTGTGGGCATGGCTTGGGAGGCGTGGTGTGGCTTAGTGGGCATGGCAGGGGAAGGATACTGCAAAATCGCCATTCCCTCCCCACTCCTGGGGGAAGGATATTGCAAAATCTCTACTCTGGGGCCAGCCAGATGTGGTATTTGCCGGTTCTCCGAACTACTCAAAATTTCCGCTACCGGTTCTCCAGAACCTGTCAGAACCTGCTGGATTTCACCCCTGGGGTCTATGTATTTGGATTGGCATCATTCTATAGTGCAGGGGTTGAGACCCAAACATTGCAGGATGGGGTGAATTCCATTATTTGCTCCAGCTCCTGCCAACCTAGCATTCAAAAGCATGCAAATGTGAGTAGATAAATAGGTACTACTTCAGTAACAGCATTCCACGTGCATCCGCTGGCTAAATGACCAGTCAACACTGGCTCCCTTGACTAAGAAACGGAGACAAGCATAGCCCCATACAGTTAAACAAATAAAGAAACATATTAACCAGGGAGATCAGAGCAGCAAAGAGAAGCTACTCTGAAAAGCTAAGGAATCAGAAATGAACCAGCAAACATGTGGAAAACTCTTACAAATATCACCGGTTGCAGCAAACCTTCTTCCCAGGCTGAAGGAAATCAACAACTGGCAGATGGCCTGAACGTGTTTTACTGCAGGTTTGAAAGGAAACTACAGCCACCTATCTCCACAACCCCCATCTCAGACACACCAACAACAGCCAAGCCTCCTACAACTGACCCCATCCCATTGGGTTCACAACCCCTGGTGATCACAGAAAAGTGCAAGATCTATTTCACAGACAAAAGCCAGGAAAAGCTCCAGGCCCAGATAAGATAACTCCTTCTTGCTTAAAAGTCTGTGCTAACCAATTGGCCCCCATCTTCACCCATATCTTCAATAAATCACTAGAGATGTGCTATGTTCCTTCTTGCTTCAAATGCTCTACTATCATCCCAGTGCCGAAGAAGCCCACCATCAAAGGAACTGAATGACTACAGACCAGTTGCTCTAACATCTGTAGTCATGAAAACCTTTGAAAGGCTGGTGCTATCCCACTTAAAAACCATCACGGATGTTAGACCCCTTGCAATTTGCCTGCGGAGCAAATAGATCGGCAGATGATGCTGTTAATATGGCTCTGCACTACATCCTACAACATCTTGAATCTCCAAAGACCTATGCAAGGGTCCTCTTTGTAGACTTCAGCTCAGCATTCAATACCATCATTCCAGATATTCTTCTAACTAAACTAAGTCAGCTAGCTGTACCTGACCACAACTTGTAGATGGATCATAAGCTTCCTAACATACAGGAAGCGGAAGGTGAAGCTAGACATACAGACAGGACATTGAACAACTAGCCTCGTGGTGCAACCGGAACAATCTTGAACTAAACACACTCAAAACCGTAGAAATGGTGGTAGATTTTAGGAGAAACTTTCCCATACTACCACCTCTTACAATACTAGACAACACAGTATCAACAGTAGAGACCTTCAAGTTTCTAGGTTCTATCATATCTCAAGACTTAAAATGTCTTGATATCAAAAACATCATCAAAAAAGCACAACATAGAATGTTCTTTCTGTGCCAACTCAGAAAGCTCAAACTGTGCAAAGAACTGCTGATTCAGTCCTACAGAGGAATGACTGAGTCTGTCATCTGCACTTCTATAACTGTCTGGTTTGGCTCTGCAGCCCAACAAGACAGACACAGACTTCAATGGATAATTAGAATTGCAGAAAAAAGAATGGCTACCAACCTGCCTTTCCTCGAGGACCTGTATACTACACGAGTCAAAAAGAGGGCTGTGAAAATGTCTACAGACCCCTCACATCCTGGACATCAACTGTTTCAACTCCTATCCTCAAAATGACGCTATAGAGCACTGCACACCAGAACAACTAGACACAAGGACAGTTTTTCCCGAACACTATCACTCTGCTAAACAAATAATTCCCTCAACACTGTCAAACTATTCACTAAGACTGTTACTATTATTCTTCTCTTCCTTCCTATTATCTCCTCCCACTTATGACTATAGCTATGTTGCTTGTATCTTTATGATTTAAATTGTTTTATTTGTTTCCTAGTATGATTTGATTGCTTATTAGTAACCTACTATCACTGTTGTATCTTATGATTCTTGATGAATGTATTTTTTTTTCTTTTATGCACGCTGAGCTTATGCACCAAAGACAAATTCCTTATGTGTCCAATCACACTTGGCCAATAAAGAATTCTATTCTATTCTATTCTATTCTATTCTATTCTATTCTATTCTATTCTATTCTATTCTATTCTATTCTATTCTATTCTAT